ATATTCCAGCCACATAAATTATTTTGTCCATGAAATCAAAAAAGCTGTGCTTTCCTTTTGCCTCATAGTCTGAGTTGTCATAACTTTTCCGATTTGTGGTAAGCTTTTCTTTGGCTGCCCCTTCTTCACCCTGACCTGTCTTGTTTGGCTCTGCAGAACTAAAATACCTGTGTAAATCCATCTGCTTTTACACACATACTTACATAATGATCAGCAAGTCTCTGCACGATCAACCTCTATCACATTTAAGCTTGCTGCAGGAGATTTCACTTGTCATGTTTGATAGTAAGCTAACGATTGATAAGAAGATGCCAAAGGAATTGGTGCGCAATTAATCTGTGACTTACCAATCAGTGCTGCCACTCTCTATACACAGTTAACATATTTCCAATGTAACATACGAAATAAAAAAAACCCTCACTATAGGGTTTGACAAAGTCTTTCAGTTACAATGTTCCTATTACATATTATTATTATTATTATTATTATTATTATTATTATTATTATTATTATAATTAATAAAAAGAATCTGTTTATTGTATAAGATTAAAATAAAATGATAAACTTTAAGGGAAATGTTTACTGAGGTTATAAATCAAGTGAGCATAAGGGTAATGTTTTGAGACTTTATTACCAGTGTTGGGAAGGTTACTTTTAAAAAGTATTCCCACTACAGTTTACAGAATACATGCTCCAAAATGTATTTTGTAACGTATTCTGTTACATTACTCAATGAGAGCAACGTATTTTGAATACTTTGGATTATATTAATATATTATCAAGCTTTTTACAACTACATGAATGAACTATTGCTGTGTGATTTCTAATTTTTAATGAAGGATACTCACCATACCAACACCAACTAGATTTTTAAATCTTAATATAAAATGTGGCCACTTTTTTTTTTTTTTTTGGGGGGGGGGGGGGATAATGCAATGGAATAATGCAAACTAAAACTACATAATAATTTCACAATCTTTAATTAGGGGTATAACATGGCATAAGATAATATAATAATCTCACAGTGCCCACAACTTAATATTTTGTTGCACAACCTTTTGAGGCAATCCCTGCAATCAAACAATTCCTGTAACTGTCAATGAGACTTCTGCACCTCTCAGCAGGTATTTTGGCCCACTCCTCATGAGCAAACTGCTCCAGTATTTTCTGGTTTAAAAGGTGCCTTTTGCAGACTACATGTTTCAGCTCCTTCCAAAGATCCTCAATGGGATTGAGGTCAGCGCTCACAGAAGACCACTTTAAAATAGTCCACTGTTTTCCTCTTAGCCATGGGTGTTTTTAGCTGTGTGTTTTGGGTCATTGTCCTGTTGACCTGCGACTGAGACCAAGCTTCCTGACACTGGCCAGCACATTTCTCTCTAGAATCCCTTTTTTTTTTTTTTTTAGTGACATCAGAAAAAGCAGCATGTGACATCACGTGATGGCGGAGCTTCAGTTCATCCTTTGTCATTTTTTCTTTTTTTTTTTTTTTAATAGGACAGGGGGAGAGAAAGAAAGAAAACCAAAGGGGAGAAGAGACGGTAAGAAGGGGGGGAAGAGAGAAAAGAACAAACAACAAAAAAAAAACTCCTGGGTCACCTGTATGGAGAAAAAAAAACAAACAAACAGAGGAGACAGCAAACAACAAAGAGCAACATAATAATAGAAAAAAAAAGCACCATCACAATAAACTACCTAGTCATAAATATCAATAGTTACTAAATAATAGACGATATTGTTCAGCACACAAGATAGACAGCGCACAGTGTGCTTTGAGGCAGCAGCCAAGAAAGCTGTAGTCCGTGTCTGTGAATACCCATCTGTACACCTGTGTGCATACCTGTGTGGATCAGCATGCTTGCATTCCAAAGGTTTCTCCATGTAATGATCTGTTAGGGAGTGTGGGGAGCCACAGCCCTGTCCTTTATGGTATCAAGCGGGTATGGAGGAGATCAAAACTCCAGACATCCAGAGGCCCCCAGAATACAAGAGACCAGGGAAGACCCACAGAGGGGCAGCTGCGCCACTGTCCCAGTAAGAGCTAAGGAGAGTCTCAGATGAGGGCTCATTCAGCAGCTGCGGAGCAGAAGCCAGGGGGAGTTGCAGTGATGCGCCTGTGGGCTCCGCCGGCAGCCAGCTGTGCCTGAGTGACCGAGCCCCAGGCCGAGAGGCTGGGGGCACCCCACCTCTCTAGAATCCCTTAATAGTCTTGAGATTTCATTATACCCTGCACAGATTCAAGACACCCTGTGCCAGATGCAGCAAAACAGCCCCAGAACATAACCGAGCCTCCCCCAGGTTTCACAGTTGGGACAGTGTTCTTTTGTTGATATGCTTCTTTTTTTCCATCTGTGAACATAGAGCTGATGTGCCTTGGCAAAAAGTTCAATTTTGGTCTCATCTGTCCACAGGGCATTCTCCCAGAAGATTTGTAGCTTGTCAACATGTAGTTTGGCATACTCCAGTCTGGCTTTTTTATGATTTGTTTTCATCATTGGTGTCCTCCTTGGTCGTCTCCCATGTAGCCCACTTTGTCTCAAAAAGTGACGAATGGTGCACTGATGTTTCTTGCGCATGAAGTTCAGCTTGGATCTCTTTAGAAGTCTTCCTGGGCTTTTTTGTTACCATTTGGATTATCCGTCTCTTTGATCTGTCATCAATTTTCTCCTGCGGCCACGTCCAGGGAGGTTGGCTACAGTCCCATGGATCTTAAATTTCTGAATAACATGTGCACCTGTAGTCACAGGAACATCCAGCTGCTCAGAGATGGTCTTATATCATTTACCTTTAACATGCTTATGATTATCTTTCTAATCTCCTGAGACAAATCTTTCTTTTGCTTCCTCTGGTCCATGTTGAGTGTGGTACACACCATGTCACAAAACAACACAGTGATTACCTGGAGTCCTATATATATATGCCTACTGACTGATTACAAGATAATAGACACCTGTGATGCTGATTAGTGGACACACCTTGGATTAACATGCCCCTTTGGTCACATTATTTCCATTCTTTTCTAGGGGTACCATCATTTTTGTCCAGGCCTGTTTCATGCATTTATTTTTTAAGTAATTCACTTGAAGCATGGTTGTGTCACGGCTGGGGCAGCGGTTGTGTCACGGCTGGGGCAGCAGTCGTGTGGTTGAATGAATGAGGATCCAAGATGCAGATGGCAGTGGAGATGTGAGTGGAGCTTGATTTACAGTGAAAATAACAAAGGTGAGGACAGAACTGAACATAAACCTAAACTGGGAAAAACTAACAAACAAACCTGAAAACATAAGGACACCGGGAGATATACAGAGATGGCAGATGAAGAAGGCTGGGCAGAGAGACGCGGAGAAACACTGAATTAACACGGAGTCACACAGAGGATTTACTGAGAAGCACAGACGATGCAACGAGGAACACAGGCAGACACACACTATAAATACACAGAAGGTAATGAGGGAATGGCACACAGGAGGGGAACACAGCTGAACCTAATTCACCAGACGAGACACAAACCTTCAAAGTAAAACAGGAAACAAACAGTCTGTTTTACAACACAAACACAGGGACACGAACAGCGCAAAGAGGACAGACACAGGTAAGGCTGATAAAACAATAAACTCCAGGTTCAACCCTAAACTAATACAAAATCACAATTAACACAAAACACATGGTGAAATCCAAAGGAAACAAAACGCTGGGTCAAAATGACCAAGGCTCATGACAGGTTTAAAAGCAGGGTTTGACTGTCATTGTTTAATATTTATAGATTTTTTATTTATTATTACTTTTGTCAGATTAAAGTTATTTCTTTGACCATTGTGAGTTTTTTGATTGACCAAAGGTTACCAACTATTTTGTCAACAAAGTAACTGTATTCTCAATATCGCCTTTTTAAACGGTAACTGTAACGGAATACAGTTACTGATATTTTGTATTTTAAATACATAACGCTGGTACATATACTCCCCAACACTGTTGAATACATTAGATTTTTTTTAAACCGGAGAATGCACCCACTGCTGGTTATTAGAAGGAATGCACATTTAATTTAGTTTGAATGATTCAGAAATGATTCAGGGCTTTCGCTTTGGTGGCCTCAGAATCTCATCTCTGATTTTGCGGATGATGTGGTTCTGTTGGCTTCATCGGGTGAGGGCCTCCAGCTCGCACTGGAACGGTTTGCAGCAGAGTGTGAAGCAGCGGGAATGAGGATCAGCACCTCCAAATCTGAGGCCATGGTTCTCAGCCGGAAAAGGGTGGAGTGCCCACTCCGGGTCGGGGATGAGTTCCTGCCCCAAGTGGAGGAGTTCAAGTATCTCGGGGTCTTGTTCGCGAGTGATGGGAGAAGGGAGCCGGAGATCGACAGACAGATTGGGGCTGCAGCTGCAGTAATGCGGACGCTGCACCGGTCCGTCGTGGTGAAGAGGGAGCTGAGTGTAAAAGCGAAGCTCTCAATTTACCGTTCGATCTACGTCCCTACCCTCACCTATGGCCACGAGCTGTGGCTAGTGACCGAAAGAACGAGATCGCGGATACAAGCGGCAGAAATGAGCTTCCTCCGAAGGGTGGCTGGCCTCTCCCTTAGAGATAGGGTGAGAAGTTCGGCCATCCGGGAGGGGCTCAGAGTAGAGCAGCTGCACATCGAAAGGAGCCAGCTGAGGTGGTTTGGGCATCTGACAAGGATGCCCCCTGGGAGCCTCCTGGGTGAGGTGTTCCAGGCATGTCCCACCGGGAGGAGGCCCCGGGGCAGACCCAGGACACGCTGGAGAGATTATATCTCTCGGCTGGCCTGGGAATGCCTTGGTGTTCCCCCGGATAAGCTGGAGGAGGTGGCTGGGGGGAGGGAGGTCTGGGCCTCTTTGCTTAGGCTGCTGCCCCCGCAACCCAGCCTCGGATAAAGCGGATGAAGATGGATGGATGATTCAGAAATCTAATGCTACTCTGTGCCATTACTAGTAATCCATCTTTTATAACAATATTCTCTGTATACTTCTGTTTGTTAGATATCAGCTCTCAAGTTACCATTGTCACAAAGACCTTCCTGCGCTACAAACAACTGAGGGTGTTGTTGGATAGTATCCGGACATTCTATAGTAACATAAAAGTGATTATTGCAGATGACAGCTTAGAACCAGAGAGCATTACTGGAGAAAACATCCAGCATTACATCATGCCTCCAGCACAGGTATGGACATGCAATAATTTCATGATTTATGAGTATTTAGCAATATTTTGGACTAAAATTACATTTATAGAACATAAGATATGCAATTGTCGATTCAATTTATGGAAGATTTATCAAGTACAATTTCAGTTAAACCATCAAACCAGGTACCATTCCAATATATGAATTTGGAATGTTTTTTTTTTCCTCAGGGCTGGTTTGCAGGCAGAAATCTGGCTGTGTCACAGGTTACCACCAAGTACTTCTTGTGGGTGGATGATGACTTTTTGTTTTCTGAGAAGACAAAGATAGAGAAACTTGTGGAGGTGATGGAGGCAGTCCCAGAACTAGATATGGTAAGGATAAAATAGCTTGTGTTGGATCGTTCAGTTTGTTTTAACTGGTTTAAGTAGAACTGTAACAGCTACAGTAGTAGGCTGATGACCCTAACGTTGTACTTTTAGAATATGCAGCCTTTGTTGTTCACCTAGGTTTTTGTATTCAGGTGGCAAAAACTAACAATTCTAACTGACACAGAGAAAAATTATTTTCAAGATTCAAGAATTAGGGTGAAGGGGTTGGGATGGTATTTTTACAGGTGATACCGTACACTTAATGAGTTAAAAAAGAAGGGGAAAAGAGGAAGAGAGCTGAGTATGTAACAAACTGAGATGGTCTTTTGTTTTCAAAAGTAATTTAAGATTATTCTTCTCAATCACCAGGTTTGAACATCTGTTACATCTGTTTAGGGTTGACTTTATAATGAGTTGTTTGGTTTTTCTCTAATTAGGTTGGTGGGTCAGTGCAAGGGAACAAGTTTCACTTTTCTATTCTGTATGAGGAAGGAGATGAAAACGAAGGTGGCTGCCTCTACAGGGAGTCTGGTGGTAAATTCCATTCCCTTCCTAGTTACCCACAATGCCATTTGGCCAGTGGAGTGGTCAACTTCTTCCTGGCTCGTACAGATGCCATGCAGAGGGTGAGATGTGACCCGAAGCTCCAGCGAGTAGCACATTCAGGTAAGTCCAGATCTCAAAACAGTTTACATTGAAAATTGCAGTATGATTTTTTTGTCAAATGGCAAATCTCTCTTTCTGACTTTAGAGTTCTTCATGGATGGCATGGGCTCTTTGATGGTTGCCTCATGTGGTGATGTGACAATTGACCATCAACCTAAAACAGAAGAAAACCGTAATCCTACCTACAACAAATTCAGAAGCCCTGGAAGAAATGATGCAGAATTCAAACTGCAGCTTCACTTTTTCAAAAACTACCTTAAGTGCATTAGATATGGATAGAAGACTATAAACGAGCATAAGGGTCAGTTGTTGTCATACATGTTGCACTTCATCTGAACATTTTCTTATCTTTCATTTTTATTGTTTTGTCATTGTTCCAGAATTGACAGAGCTTGGGATTATAAGTGAAAATAGCTATTTTGTGGCTTTCTGTTGGGTTTTATTGTTCCTGATTAGATTTTTTATTTATTCTATAGAAAGTTTGATGTCTTATGCTATTGTTAATAAGGTTAGGGTTGTCAGTGTTGACATTGTGGAGGACTATAAATACCTTGGAGTACACATTGACAATAAACTGGACTGGGCTAAAAACACCACAGCACTTTACAGGAAGGGCCAGAGTCGTCTCTATTTTTTGAGGCGACTGAGGTCCTTCAACATCTGCCAGAAAATGCTGAGGATTTTCTATGAGTCTGTTGTGGCCAGTGCGATCCTCTATGCTGTTGCATGCTGGGGGAGCAGGCTGAGGGTCGCAGATGCCAACAGACTTAATAAACTGATCCGTAAGGCCAGCAATGTTGTGGGGATGGAGCTGGACTCCCTCAAGGTGGTGTCGGAGAGGCGGATGCTGTCCAAGATAAAGACAATGTTGGATAACACCTCCCACCCACTCCATGACATGTTGGTCAGTCACAGGAGCTCGTTCAGTGAGAGACTGAGATTACCGAAAAGCACCACTGAACGACACAGGAAATCATTCCTGCCTGTGGCCATCTCCCTGTACAACGCATCCACTTAACACACTGTTTGCTGCTACAACTACACGTTTCTTTTCCAAATATTTATTTATAAGTGACTTATGTATGTATGTATGTATATATATGTATATATTGTACTATTCTTAGTTAGCGTATTGTCTGTCTTGTCTTAATGTTGGTTTAAAATGGAGCACTGTAACAAAAAATAATTTCCCCCAGGGATCAATAAAGTATTCTGATTCTGATTCTGATTTAATCTAGTATATTGAACTTTTATTGTTCTGTTTTCTGCACTATTTCTTTTTCTTCAATATATCAATGCTTTTGTTGCTAGCAGATAGTCATAATCACCCATAGTTTGCATGGATCACACAAACACTTACTATTTACTCTCTGGACATAAAAAATGAAAACCAAAAATATGTGACACAAATCAGAAATGAATAAAGCTCACTTTTAAAGAACTCTTCATAATTTCAGTACTGTTTAAATAGTAAATGGCAAGTGCTTCTGGTCACTGTCATACAAAAAATGCATACAAAATATGTGGAATTCGGAATCCTGCTAGGGACGAAAGCAATAGTAAATGGTAAATGGCCTGGATTTGTATAGCGCTTTACTTAGTCCCTAAGGACCTTTAGACTGCTTTACACGACATTCAGTCCAAGGGCGTAGATTTGGGATGGACGGAAGGGACATGTCCCCACCAATCATTTGATCTATTCGAGTAAAGAAAATCAAGAAAGAGAAGAAGAAACGATCTGTCAACGTCTCATTCACCCAGCGGTGCAGAAAGAGTTAAATTACGTCCTCTACTGGAGTCCTACCTCATGTGACAAATATGGCCAATGTGATTGGCTATGCCTTTCAGGGAGTTCTGTTTAGTTTTAGCAGCGGCAAGCCTGCGCTGCGAGGAGGAGAGGAGGATGGCAGTGCAAAGGAAGAACTTGGATATATAAGTATTTTTCAAAGAAACCTGTAAGTCACTTAAAGCCAAATTAACTCATAAAATGTGTCCGTCATAATAACGTTACAGACTATGCTAGGCTTTGGCTCACATCAGTCTCAAATTGTATGTAACCATGAATAATGTGTTTTGTAAACTAACTGCACAACATGCAGCACTGTTAGTTCTCTCAGTCTCAGAGCAGCATTTCTAATTTTGATTGAAACTGTCAGAGAAAACGGCAGCCTCGAGCGAGCCAGGATATTAGTTTACAGAGGCTGTTAAAATTATATGTCTAACGTTAAAATGTTGGTGACACAATAATTTCATCCCAATGGCACTGACATATTCATAGGTAAATTTTTGAGACAGTCATGATTTTGCAAATATCCACCTTGTAGTGCAGTTTGCACAAATTGTTTTAAAAATGCACTCACCCTACAAACGTTACTGATGAGTCAAGATCTGCACAAACTGACAGAAACACTGAAGCAGCTCCACATTTTATTCTTATTGTCATGTATGACCTATTTGTCCAGTGGCGTGTCTAGAAAATTTTTGTTGGGGGGGCAGGTGCACAGATTTGGAGAAGGGTGGAAGATGTAATTGGCAGAGAATGTTTAAAAAAAATTCTACCAACCATTAACCATAATTCAATATCCCTATAAACCTAATAACCGAATGTGCTTTTAACTCTTATTAGAATGAGACTTTAACCACTACGATGCAAAGTTTTTAGATACTGCGTTGATAAAGTACAAGAGATACAATCAGTGCTTTGTCAGTGTTTACTCAGCATTCAAATCCAGCAATATTTGCATAGTATTTTTACTGACATATAGTGCACATATGTTTTGGGAAAAACATTTTTTAATATTAAGATACGAACATTTGTAACAAACAATTGACAAATTAGCCAGTTCCAATGTAAAACTTTCTCTGCCTGTTAAAAAAAGAAGATAATCTTCTCACAAACTGGTGTTTGATTTTGAAACAGGAAAAAGTGGGGAAACAAATGAAAAGACTAAAATTTGAATAAAACCTGAAAGCAAGTAAATACTTTCTATGCTGCCTTATGGTAAACTTTGGTAATATTGATCAAGAACAACACTGGCTGATGATGAAATACAGTCAGCTGGCATGGTGACACTGCCAGTATTAACCTGCAGGGCTGGACTGGGACAAAAAAATCGGGCATTTTTACTACAGACCGACCCACCAGGTAGTAAAGCCATAAAGACTTTGATTGAAAACAAACCCTGTTGTGACAGTGATGTACACTGTCTTGTTGGTATATGTATGATTTCTATTCATTTTACGTCAGATAAAAACTTTGGTTGTAAGATTTAGATAATTATTTAATAAAAGCTAGATATTTTAAATGAGAATAAGAAAGAAAAGTATTTCTTTGTGCCCACCTTTCCCTGTTAATGCCCTACCTGGCCCCGCTGGCAAAACTTTGCTAGATCCGCACCTGCACAGTTACCAGCTGTCAGCTACATAAAAAAGGATCCTGGTGTTATTTGTCTCTCAGCAACAGTTCATAACTTCAACTCATTCATGTCACCTAAAAGGTAAACCTGTTTCTCCATCACCTGTTCTGCTCTGATGATTCAGTAAGGACATCTCCTGGTTTCATCTTCATGTTTCCCTCTCACCACATATCCAAACCGATTTCATGACCAGCAGCTTTACAGCTGTGGCTCCAGCAAACATCAGCTGATACTAGAAATTAATATTAAATACATTCTAACAACAGCTGATCAAGCTTAAACGTGCTGCTGTTGTTTAGCGCGACATCTGCTGGTTTCCTCTTACTGGCGCAAAGTGGGCGATAAATAAATGAGAGAGAAAAGCCAATCAGTAAATTTACATCAGCTGATGTAAATTGTTTCATTAGTGCATATTTGACAATGAATCTGAATTGACACGTCTCACTTTTTATATGGCACAAATCAATTTGTTATTTTATCAGGTGACAATATGGGGCGATCGTGGCTCAAGAGTTGGGAGTTCGCCTTGTAATCGGAAGGTTGCCGGTTCGAGCCCCGGCTTGGACAGTCTCGGTCGTTGTGTCCTTGGGCAAGACACTTCACCCGTTGCCTACTGGTGGTGGTCAGAGGGCCCGGTGGCGCCAGTGTCCGGCAGCCTCGCCTCTGTCAGTGCGCCCCAGGGTGGCTGTGGCTACATTGTAGCTTGCCATCACCAGTGTGTGAATGGGTGGATGACAGGTTGTGTAAAGCGCTTTGGGGTCCTTAGGGACTAGAAAAGCGCTATACAAATACAGGCCATTTACCATTTTACCATTTACAATATGTCCTAGTGCAGTCAGAGGGGAAGAGCCAGGGCCAAAGGTGAGGCACATCAAGCACAGAATAATAATTGTAATCTGAGGATAAAACGCATGTACTGAGGCTGAAAGAAGCTTCAGTGCTCTCAGAAGACTAAAAAGATGGCTAAGGATAACAATGACTCAAATGAGAAATGCTGCTGTATGTCCACCAGGAGAGACCGGACAGTATAGATGTAAAATATATGTGTCAGCAGTTTATCTCAGTTAATGAGAGGGGCAGGTATGTGTTTGGCTCCTTCACACAGTGGACATTGAGTTGTTGTGTGGGACACCAGTAGTCCATGTCTGTTGCTGTAACAGTAGTTCATGTTTAGAATAGAAAATCTCAGCTCATTGATTTGATCGGGGCAATAGTGCCTAAAATGTTGCATCATTTTGCTGAGAGATCTTTTACTTTGTGGTCATCTTAGATGAGTAGTTTTATGGACAAAAACCAGCAGGTCATTCAGTGTTCCCTTAGTGCCAAAATATAACACATGTTGGTGTAACTGAAGTAATGTTGTGAAGTCCTTAAAGTCATATTCTTTTATTGTCATGACTGTATTTGAAGCTATTTTTATTTTTGTATGATACCTGATATGGATTATGGCTGAAGTAAACTAAAGCCTAAAATACTTAGTCATTTATTTAATAGTAAATTAACATTATATAATTCACATATAAAACTATGAATTGTGATTTTAAATGGTTTAAAAGCACGTAGAATAGCATGTATATTTCTCCTCTTTTTTATTAAGAAGCAAAATCAAAAAGGAAAAAAAAAAAAGAAACAGGGCAGAGTTCGGTGGTTGAATCATCCGTCCCCACCAATGCCAAAACCAAATCTACGTCCTTGATTCAGTCATTCACACACAGATGATGGCTAGCTACATTGTAGCCACAGCTGCCCTGGGGCACACTGACCACCAGTAGGTAGCGGGTGAAGTGTCTTGCCCAAGGACACAACAACCGACACTTTTCCACGTATCCCCTGACAGAGGCGAGAAAGCAATGGTAAGGAGAG